ATTATTTCTGTCTTAGTAATTGTTTCTGCAGAAACAAATTAAGCCAACCTCTTTAAAACATCTTTCAAAATGCAAGAAAATAAAAGCAAAACAAAAACACAACAAGACCAGGAAAAAATAATGAGAAACATGTGTAACTGTGGCCAAAACTGAAAGGAAAACATATTAATCAAGCTTATTCTTTACATCTCTAAATAAGACAACAGACTAGACTAGACAGACGAGACAACAGGCTCAAGAGTACAGTAGTTAGACCCACTTTATTGCAGACTCCACATTTTTGCTTTTAATGGCTAAATATCAGTGGTCCCTACCTTGCTCTGTAACTGAAAACTTGAACAGTTACGTGACTTTATAATCACTAAAAAGAAATAAAGATCTCGTAATCATGTAAAAACACATATCTACTCAATTCAGTTACTAAAATTATCCAGTCTTGCTGATTATGGTGGCTCACACCTTTAGTCCCAGCACTCAGGAGAGAGAGGCAGGTTGATCTCTGAGTTTGAGGCCAGCCTGGTCTACAGAGTGAGTTCCAGGGCAGACAGGGCTACACAGAGAAACCCTGTCAAAACCAAAACCAAAAAAAAAAAAAAAAAAAAGCCAATCCCAAACATTGTCAAAATTCCAAATACTTTCCAGTTGAAAAATTCCGACTGTGGAATCTTCAAATCAGACATTGGCATTGGGAAAAAGGATTTTTAAATTCCATTTTCTCCTCCTCCACTGTTTACCACTTGGTTATTAGTTATTATCTTACAAAGGCACTTGACTAGAGATATTTTCTCTTATAGGCCCTTGTGTTCTTTCAGAAGTTTTCTCTTCTGAGTTTCTTTGACTAGATCTACAATGTTATTGATGCATTTCTTTTAGCTAGATATTTTGCAGCACTCTGTCTTAGATAAAGGGTTATATTAGCAGACACAATGCCTCCATAATGAATTGGATGGTCTACCTTAATGAACAGTGGACTTGTGGGTTGCTCTCTGTCACAGTACCAACTTACCTTATTGCCTCATTGTTTAAACTTCTAAGATAGAAGCCAGATCCAGTATATTGCCCTAAACCTAAGATGATTATACTTAGCTTTAGGTAGAAGACCACTGATTTTCACTTTATGAGAAATGAAAACTCTACTTCTCTAGGGAATGTCTCCCATTGCTACTAATTATCCAATATTAATATATGCTCATCACAAAAGGGTGGAGTCTTGATACAGATTCTTTGTCATTTCCCTGAAAATTGTGTGTATTGTTTAGTGTCTCCATTGATTAGGATATCATAGAAAGGTATATGATAAATGTTAAAATCAGAAAAGTATAATCAAAGAAAAGAGACTTGGAGACCTCAACCTACATCAACCTGTTCTGTGAAAGACCAAAACTTATTGATAGTTTTTTCCTCAAGGCCTACTGTTCAAGGTCAGTATTGATGATCCCTGCATCTCAATCTACAGCTTTAAACATTGGAGGTAGATGAATGACAGGGAGGGGCAAGTTCATTTGCAGGAGAATTTGTTATTAACTCCGACCTCAAATCTTTGCTTGCAGAGCTAGTCAGGCTCTTGAAAGACTAACAACATTATCTGGTTTTGGCTTACCAATTAAGCTAGTGGGAGAATATCCTTTCTCCTACTATTCATATTGGTTCTAAGGGGCCAGAGAACTGGAAAGTAGGAAATACTCCATAATGTGGCATTCCATAGTGTGTATATTAAGTATAGAAAAAGATTCTCATGGAGAATGAAGACTTTGAGAAAATTCTCTAAGAGTCCTTTCTCTTTCCACTTCTGGTGGCAGTTCCCCTAGCCTGTGTCATATCTGTTTCTTTTGAAGGCCCAGTGTAGTGATAGCTAGAACATGGCCTGGGTTTTCACTAACCATTTAAGTATAAGGCTATTTAGACCATCTGCTCTGCAGTCATTCTTTTTTTTTTTTTTTTACATTACTCAAACCTAGGGGGAAAGTGTCCTGTTGGTATTCAGTCAGACTTGTAGATAACCCTTCACTAGACCTGAGTGATAGGAGCTCTCAGTAAAGAGTGCACCCTTTGGTAGAAGAAACGTGTTACATTATTGGAGGAATGGGGTTTGGAAAAGATCCATTAGCTAATGCAGCACTCCCTCCTCCTTTGTATCTAATGGATTCCTTCATCTTACAGGTCAGAAAACTTAGGTTAAAAGTGTTAAAATGACTTTCCAAATGTTCCACAGATTATAGGTTAGTGGGAGTGGTATACTATTATACTGAAGTACAAGGTCCAACTTTTCTTCCTATCTTATTCGGTTCTGGCCACATAGTTATGAGCTAAATAGGTTTTATGATCACATACCATCTCTAGTAAGCCTTTTATCTGGGCTGAAGTGCTTGGTTAGAACATTAGGGGTAAAAGTTGAGTGTCAGATAACAGGATAAGAGAGACATGCCAGCTTTCTTCATTGTGTGCTGTAGTGAAAATACATTTTAGTTTTGTATCTGTCATGTTTTTTGAGTAATTATGTTGTTCATACAATGCACATACTGACTGAATTTCCTTTTTTGCCACACACTTCATAAAGATGTACAAAATGTGTATAAAAACCAAGCTATCGCACCCTTCTCCCCAATGTCTTGGAATCGTCTCAGGAGAGGAGTCCAGCAGATTTATAAGCCAGAATTGGTGGAGGACTCAAAGGCAGCAGTATCTTTAGGATACAGCAGGCAAGTTGCACTTATGAATTCAGAGACATTTGACAGCATGCACAAGAGCTGTGCAATTTCTAGCCAGACAAAATTCCCCCATGGAGCCGGGAGAGCTGGGGACAAAGTTTCATCCTTCTTCTACCAGGCAGCTGCTTGAAGAAGAGACAGGTTGGCCACATTCTAGTGGATGGCCATATAAGCTAAGAGCATTATGGAAACAACAATTGGACTTGATGTGTCTAAAAAGCAAACTACAACCACCACCACCACCACTACCCTCACACTACACCCCCCACCAATAAAATCCCAAGAGAACATGAGTTGAATGGATAGGGAGGTAGAGATGGGTCTGTAAGGAGTTAGGCAAAAGGATTGTAAATATGATCAAAATACATTGCATTTTATTAATCATCAAAGAATCAATAAAACTTCCTTTTAAAAAACAAGGTTATCAGGCTTGTATGGCAATTGCTTTAACTGCTGAACCATTGTGCTAGCCCAATAACTAGCATTTTAATAAGATTCTTATTTCAAAAGCTTTAAACCTATATATATATATATATATGTGTGTGTGTGTGTGTGTGTGTGTGTATTATATACATACATATATGTGTGTATTATATACATATGTGTATATATATATTTATTTATCTAGCATAAATCAAAATATAAAAAATGGTTGGTATTTAGCATCTGTTCTTGTATGTTGTGGTGATCTGAAGAGAATCAGTATTCATCATTGATAATGTTCCTGCTAATTTGTTATGATAATAACCTTTTTTTACACACTTGATTACTAAGCACATCTCATGACAACAGGCACATGGCCAAGCTTAGCATGATATTGTGGTCATCTAATAATTGAACAGTGTGCCTTGTGGGCCATGTTAGTTCTACATGTCATGTTTTGATTTAAGTAAGAAAACTGAACATAGCTGGACATAGAGATTGATGGTATGAATTTATTTTTACAGTGACTTTATCCAAAATCACTCATACAGAATTTCAGAGCTTACTGCCACCTTGAAAGTAAATCACCTCAATAAAGAGTGCTTGGAATTTTTTTTTTGAATTAGTGAAACAAAAAATGCCCAAATATTTGCATTATAAGAGCATAGAAATTGGTAATGCCGAAATACATTCAGTTATATCAGAAATATTAGAGTTGTTGATGAGATGGAATCATATTTAAGATAACATTTCTTTAGTCTAAAGGAACAGATAGAAAATAAAAACAACAGAACAAGCTTCCTGTAAAAAGAGTATACGTGGACAACAGTCAGCCAGATTCTTAGTAGTGTCCAAGTTGTGCTCTTTCATAGCTAGATGAGGCTTGGGTAAGTTGCTTAGCTCTTTTTTGCCTCTGATGTCTCCCCTGTACAATCACATCATAATCTCTATTGATATTCATTTTATTCAATGTGGTTACTAATAATTATCTAATAGATCCATACCAACCCATGGAAACTAAGTGGCTTAATAAATCATATCTGTGGTTTTAATGATAGTTACTAACATCACAGAATGCCTCTGTCCTCACCATTGAGTATACAATGAGAGAAATACAAGATGCTTTATTAGAACCTCACTCCCCTTGGGACTAATCATTATTACAGGGATGAAATAGTACTGTCAGTTAAAGGGGCACTTTATTTCTTCCTAAAAGGCCAATTAGAACTTCAGTTTACAGGTTGAAAATATCAAGATTTTAATTAGAGATAAATTACTTAAACAGGAAAGACAGTCTTGGAAATGGTTTAGCATTTCAGACTGCTGATTCTTTGAGCAAATCGTCTCATTTCTCTTCACTTCTGTCTCTGATGGGGCACAAAAGGTCTTTATAATCAATATTTTTCAACTCTAAATTCTGGAGTTCTGAGAAACACTTTGGAGAGACTCTCACTACTAGAATCTGCTTAGGAGATGGTGCAGATAAGTCTTTCTCTGCCTCCACTCCAAAGACATAGGGTACAGAGCTTGTAAAATGTTGACCTGAAGAGAGTGAAGTGATTCTGTGTCTGGAGTAGGGCAGTGTTCCTAGGGTTCCTGTTGGGATCTAGAATGGCAGCTGCTAAGAAAGCATGGTGCCAAATTCCTAGTCTCCAGAGTAATGAAATAAAACACAGGATAATTCTTTATGCCTTGCTAAGAGTAGAAATATAAATGTCACTTTCTGTAAGCCTGCACCAAAAATCATCCTCAGAAGTTTTTGCAATACTTCTAACTATGATAATCAGCCTAATGGTAATAAATATGCCAACTAATGTATGTTGGTATATGTAATATATACAAAATAACACAATTTTTACTTATTTCCAGCAAAACCAAGGCAAATGCCCAGCCCAGAACTGTTCAGTGGAAGCTCCTGCATGGATGCCTGTCCATCATTGTACCGTAAGTTACTTCAAGACTGATTAGATTAAAGGAGAAATAATGCTTTATTCTGGAATAACCTTCCTGGAATGAGGTAGAACATGGTCTAAAAACCTAGAGTAGAGCAAACATTTTGGTAGGAAAAAAATTTCTTTCAGAAAGAAGTGTATTATAAAAAGTCACCATGATTAGGGAATCTATTTATTTGTTTTTGAGTCAGGAAACCTTGCAAAGTACTTCTCTAAATGAGATATTGATGAGTTATATTTGCATGGTCATTAAAATGAATATATTTGCACATGTGTTTTTCTAAATAGCTGCACATTCAGCAGTATTTGATTTTGAGATGCCTTCGAGAAGATGCTTTTACTTTATCATTGTTTTGTTGACTGCTTAATCGTGATGAGTAAATGGACTTGCAATTTCCAAGTCTTCCTGGCATAATAATAGACTCTGCATTTGTGTGGACTCTTCTATCCGAGAATTATCCAAGTGCCTTTGAAAGAAACAGGTACTATGTTATTATCCTTGGGTTGCAGATTGAAGACTTAACCACACAGGGAGTAAGAATAGCACATCAATCGTAGAGCTAGCAAGAGATGCCAGATACCCTACCTCTCCTTTTTCATGTGCTTGCTCTATTACATTGTGCAGTGAAGTGAATGAAAGAAAGGGACTGATTTGTATAATATTCTCTTGTACATGCATTGCCTGATAGAGATGACAGTGGTGCCTCTGGGAATTTTCTTTGCTATAACTGACAGTTTGCCTGGAATGAAATAATGCATGTGATGGGGACAAGAAATCTGAAAGCTACTTTGGGGCACTTCTCTCATTTGACCCTCCCTGCAGGTAGTCTGGAAGTAATGTGTGGTGTCTCTTAAACACCTGCATCTGCTGTCAAAGTACAAGCTGCTGAAAGGGGCCACTGGGCTGCCATGGTGTGGCTTATGCTATGTGGTAAAGGCAGTAGGCCCAGGGGAGGCTACTTTTTGTTCAGATCCTGTAAAGGACACAGCTTCCTTCCTTGGTTTTGAATGTATGTGGAAGGAAGGGAAGAGGGGATCACCTTTAGTCAAGGAGATGATAAAGCTAAATTTTGGAGGGATTCCTGCTGTGCAGAAGCAGCTTAGACTTGCCAAAGACTTAAAGAATAAAAATGTCACATTTTTGTGAGCAGATGGCCAGAGGGGAGCTTGTGCACAGGGACTCTGTTGCTGCCAGTGAGAAGATGAGTTTTAATAATTTTAGTTCTTCATCAGTCACCCATCTCATTGTGTCCCTGATGATATTATCTTACAACTACTGTTTCATACATCTGTTTATTCAAAGAGGCTACACGCTCTTCAGGGTCCTAGTGCACAAATTCCTAAGTAAATTCTTTTTCATAGGAGGGTCCCTGATGACTGAGGCTCTGAGCTGAATCTTTAGTATGTTGGTTTCTTGGTAAGTGCTATATTTGAATGTGGGCTTTGGTAAGCTTTTTTTGTCACTCAAAGATTTCTTTACATAGAGAAATAATGCTGCCATCTGACCATTTGGGGTCAAGTTTCCATTCTGGAATCAAAATAACTTACAGATGATTTCTCTACAGGGTTATTGGTGTGTTAGATTTTGATTATTATTAAACTCAGCAGTATTTGGTTTTAGATGGGTCCATTTGTACTTTTCATTTCATAGTGTTTTGAGAAATTTATCTTTAAATTAGACAAAATTTAGCAATTTCACCCACTTATGCAAATTTCTGGTGATATCATCACGAATTAATTTCCTTTTTCTTTTTTTTTTAAATTTTTTAAAAATTTTTATTTTGCAATACAATTCAGTTCTACATATCAGCCACGGATTCCCTTGTTCTCCCCCCTCCCGCCCCCCTCACCTTTCCCCCAGCCCACCCCCTATTCCCACCACCTCCAGGGCAAAGCCTCCCCCGTGGACTGAGATCAACCTGGTAGACTCAGTCCAGGTAGGTCCAATCCTCTCCTCCCAGGCTGAGTCAAGCGATCCTGCATAGGCCCCAGGTTTCAAACAGCCGACTCATGCAATGAGTACAGGACCCGGTCCCACTGCCTGGATGCCTCCCAAACATATCAAGCCAATCAACTGTCTCACCCATTCAGAGGGCCTGATCCAGTTGGTGACCCCTCAGCCATTGGTTCATAGTTCATGTGTTTCCATTCGTTTGGCTATTTGTCCCTGTGCTTTATCCAACCTTGGTCTCAACAATTCTCGCTCATATAAACCCTCTTCATTCTCGCTAATTGGACTCCCAGAGCTCCACCCGGGGCCTAGCCATGGATCTTTGCATCCAGATCCCTCAGTAGTTGGATGGGGTTTCTAGCATGACAATTAGGGTTTTTGGCCATCCCATCACCAGAGTAGGTCAGTTCGGGCTGTATCTCGACCATCAGCATTGTTTGTAATTGCCAGAACATGGAAACAACCTAGATGCCCTTCAACTGAAGAATGGATAAACAAAATGTGGTACATATACACAATGGAATACTACTCAGCAGAGAAAAACAATGACATCATGAGGTTTGCAGACAAATGGATGGATCTAGAAAAAATCATCCTGAGTGAGGTAACCCAGACTCAGAAAGACAAACATGGTATGTACTCACTCATAGGAGGATACTAGATGTGGAACAAGGATGACTGGACTGCTACTCACATCACCAGGGAGGCTACCTGGAAAACAGGACCCCAAGAAAGACACGGGGATCGCCCAATGACAGAGAAATGGAATGAGATCTACATGAACAGCCTGGACATGAGTGGGCATAGTGAAGGGCGAGGGTCGAGGGAAAGAGAGCTTGGGGGAGTGGGAGATCCCAGCTGCATCAACAACAGAGAGGGAGAACAAGGAAGAGGAGACCATGGTAAATGAAGACCACATGAGAAAAGGAAGAAGCAAAGTGCTAGAGAGGCCCACAGAAATCCACAAAGATACCCCCACAACAGACTGCTGGCAATGGTCGAGATACAGCCTGAACTTTCCTTTTTCTTATAATCATGAATAAAGTAGTGTTCCTGTTCTACCAGATATAGCCATGTGTAATACCAATAACAATTTTGACCTAAAGTCCAAAGTAAAGGAACCCTGGTAGTACTTTGTTAGAATATGGTCTTTGGAGTTACTGGAAATAGTTTTTTCTTCTTTATCAGTACTCTTAGGAGCTGGAAGATTACAATCAAGGTCTTTTTATTGTAGGAACTGAAGAAATAAGTAGATGACTACATTTTAAGACCCTTTTTTAATTAAGAGATTTTCTATTCATTTTACATACCAACCACGGATTCCCCTGTCTTCCCTTCTCCCACCCCCAGCTTTCCTCCTCAACCCACCCCCATTCCCACCTCCTCCAAGGCAAGGTCTCCCCTGGGGAGTCAGCAGAGCCTGGTAAATTTAGTTGAGGCAGGTCCAAGGCCCTCCTCCCTGAACCAAGGTTGAGCAAAGTTTAAGACCCTTCTTGTAGATCATGAGCCAGTCATGCTGACACTAAAAAATCTAGTTCTCACCTGTGGTCAGAGGAAAGCCTCAGAAACTCAATGTGTCTTCTGTTTTGGTATTAGAAGCTGCTGGCTTCATAAATTTCCTCTATCATTAATTAAAGGTAATCATATCCCCTAGTGGGGAAGATACCTCCTGGAAGACCGATGCAGTGCATAATGATTTATTTCTCTGCAGGTAACTCCTCCAACCACAGAGGTAGCCTTCTAGTGGCCATGCTTAGACTGTTTAAGCTTGCTTTACCCACTACTAACTGATTTCCCTGGAAGATACTAATATCAGCAGAGACAGATGGATTTTTGCTTCAGAGAATCTGCAATTTGTTCTAAGGAGATACAAGATGGGCGGGCATCTATTACTATTGATTCACACAAACCACGAGACTTCAGAAAGTGCTTTGTGAACTTTAGTTGCTAAGAATCTTGGAACTGGCCAGTCTAAGGTTTTACTTACTCAGAAATCTGACTGTGTGAAAAGTTCCTAATGATTAATAAATAATCATTAAATTATTTTTCCTCACAAATTATTGGCTTTATTTTTTTCTTAGGAGTTTTTAACTTACTTGCAGTCAAAAGAAAGAGATTTTATTATTGAGTCTCCAACCCTGTTCACTAAAACTAATACAATGAACAGTCTCAGACAGAAATTTCTAGAACATTGGAATTTAAAATTTTATAATAGTCCATTAATTCCACTGATCTGATTCTTTGAAAAAGCTGGGTGTATAAAAGAGTCACCAAAGATGAACTTCATAATGACGTATTTCATGACAGAAAGTGAAAAAATATGAGTAGTTAACTATATCATTAGCTTTTACAGTTATATAACAAAATCTGCAAGTAGGTAAAACTGTTTCGGCATTCATTTTCATTTTGTTATCTCTCAGGAAAAAGTGAAATTCATAACTTCATGTTTTCACGAAAAGATCTCAACTGTCTCAAGTCCTCTGAGACTGAACCAAGTTATAAATAAATTAGTCCATTATTACATAATAAATGAATAGTCTCTATCTAATCTTCCTAAGTTTTTGAGCACTTGATTCTCTTCTCCGTTCCTTTCCACAATCCTGGTGTTGTTTGTTGGTGTTCTACTCCACAGTGATTATAATTGAGACTTCCTACTTTGTGTGGAAACATCGTCTTCGTGTGTACATTTGCCTCAGGTTCATTTTCAACCCAGATCATTTATCATTCATCTTCTACATCCAAATGGACTTGCAAATGTCCTCACCAGCTACAGACTGCATTGAAGATTGCTTCTATCACTGTCCAACGTCTGTCTGAACATTCTCTCTTTTTATTTAATATTTTTATTGTTTTTGTACTCCACACCTATATAGTAGAAGGCCTGAGATGGTTCTTTCTAATGACTTCCCTCTTAGTCCAGACTATAAGTTTTAGATTGGGGTTGAAGCTTAAGAAATTTTTTTTTGTCCCAGTCATTGTGCAGATACACAGGTGTAATTATACTTCTGGAATAACTACAAATGTGTTCCTTAATGAGGAGC